GGATGGGTGAATGGGTGGGTAGATGATGGATGGATGTTGGAAGGATGGATGGTGGGATAGATGGGTGGGTGGATGGATAATTAGTTCTTGAGTACCCACTCCGTAATAACTACAATAACTGTCTACTTCCTGGGAGTTTTATATACCTTACCTTCCTCCCTCCCTCCCTCCTTCCTTCCCTTCCTTCCTCACTCACTCCCCTTTTCTCCTTCCTTCTGTTCAGTCAACAAATAGTGTCGGGTACCAGCACTGCAAATGCAATTGTGAACAAAAACAGAGAGCATCCTTGCCTTCCTAGAGCTTGCAATATAGTGGGGGAGACGAACGTCAGTGAAACATAAATGGAAAACTGTTGCTATGATAAGCGGTACAAAGTAGAGGTAGCCAGTCCTACCAGGACCTGTAAAATGGAGAACTTGACCTAGTCAGGGAGACCTAAGACTTCCTTGAGGAGGCCGAGGTTGAGCGAATGCCTGCAGGACAGATAGGAGTTAACTAGGCCAAGGAGAGGAGAGATTCCCCCACAGAAGGGGGCGCACACACATAGCCCCCGTGGTGGGAGGAGCATGGTGTGCACAGAGCAGGAGTAGGGGGAGCTTGAGGGGCTACGGAGAGATGGATCGGGACAGCTAATGGGGCTGGAATGGCAGGACCTTAGGGAAGGTTCTGTTTTTCTTCCACAGGAAGATGTGGATGAGTTTTCAGATGGGGATGCAGGTGAGGATGGAGATGATTAGGTGGCTACTGACTGCAGCTGGCCGGACCAGAGAGAATGGGGCGCCAGCCAAGGCAGCAGTGGTGGACCTCAGAGCAGTAGATGAGTTTGCGATTTTTACAGGAGGTAATGGGGCAGGACCAGGTGACAGATTGGATCCAGGGGGTTAGAGGGAGAGAGATGGCAAAGATGCATCTCAGGCTTCTGGCTTGTACGCCTGGAGGGGATGGTGGTGTCGTCTGCTGAGATGGGACACACTGGAGGCACCACCCACCAAGTTTGGGTTTGAGTTGGAGTTGGAAGGACCTCTGAGCAACCAGAGGGAGTATCAGACAAGCACTTGGCTGTGTGTGGGGCTCCTTGGGATTCCTTCCATCCCCATGTGATGAGGAAACGGAAGCCAGAGAGTCGAAGTGACTTAGGTAAGTTACATGGTGGGTGCAGACCTGGTACATGCTAAGAAGTGGATGGCCTGTCTTTCCAGAGGCTGAAGCAGAGGATGCGGACAGCCCCGCAAGTTCCCACAAGCCCCTCGCCTGGCTCCCCCCGCAGGGCCATCAGCTGGACATGACTGAGGAGGAGCCAGATAGGACCCTCGGAAGTCCGGAGGTGGAGGATGCGGGAGAGAGCTGCCCGAGGTTGGGGTATGAGGCTGGTCTCAGCTTGGAGGGCCATGGAAACACCAGCCCCATGGCTCTTGGGCAGGGTCAGGTCAGGGCCTGGGTGGCTTCTGGCGAACAAGCCGGTGGAGACAAACTTTCCGAACATTCCGAGGTCAACCCATCCGTTGAGCTCAGCCCGGCAAGGTCCTGGAGCAGTGGGACTGTGAGCCTTTACCACCCTAGTGACAGCCTTGATTCCACTTGGGAAGGAGAGATCGATGGCTCCCCGCCCACTGCCCTGGCGGAAACCTTGCCAGAGAGCCCCAGCCACCACCTCCTGCACCCAGATGACAGAACTGGAGGCAGTGTTGCTCAGGCAACCCTCATGGAATTCCAGGACTCCTCGGCTCCCCCAGCCCAGAGTCCACAGCGTGCCGCAGATAGATGGAGGAGAGAAACGACCAGATTCGCCTGCCCGCAGCCCGAGGAACACATCTGGAAGCTGACAAAGACATCACCTAAGCCACTCCCTTCCCGATTCATTGGCTCCATCAGCCCCCTGAATCCTCAGCCCAGGCCAATCCGGCAGGGCACGCCGCTGCCCAGACAGGGAGCCACTCTGGCTGGCCGGTCCTCTTCTAATGCCCCCAAGTATGGCCGGGGGCAGCTGAACTACCCACTCCCTGATTTCTCCAAGGTAGGGCCCCGGGTGAGATTCCCCAAAGATGAGAGCTACCGTCCCCCCAAGTCTAGAAGCCATAACAGGCAGCCTCAGGGCCCTGCCCGGCCCCTCATCTTCAAGTCACCAGCCGAGATTGTGCAGGAGGTGCTGCTGAGCAGTGGAGAAGCAGCCCTGGCGAAGGACATGCCTCCTGCCCATCCCATCACCAGGGTACCACAAGAATTTCAGACGCCTGAGCAAGCCACTGAGCTTGTTCATCAGCTCCAGGTTAGTGAGACTCATGGCTGTGGGTGTGTCACCAAGGCCCCTGTTGGCTTGGGGTGGAGGCTAATTGGGGTGGGGAGGCCTGGGATAGAAGCTGACTGGGATGGGGAGGAGGCTAGCTGAGCTGAGGAGGCCTGGGGTGGAGGCTGGCTAGGGTAGGGAGGCCTGGAGTAAAGACTGGCTGTGGTAGGGAGGCCTGGGGTAGAGGCTGGCTGGGGTGGGAAGCCCTGGGATGGAGGCCGGTGGGGTGGGGAGGCCTGGAGTAGAGGCTGGTTGTGGTGGGGAGGCCTGGGGTGGAGGCTGGCTGGGGTGGGAGCCCTGGGATAGAGGCCAGTGGGGTGGGGAGGCCTTGGGTAGAGGCCAGTGGGGGTGAGGAGGCCTGGGTAGAGGCTGGCTGGGGTGGGAAGCCCTGGGGTGGAGGCTGGCTGGCGGGGGGAGGCCTGGGGTCTGGGCCAGGAACTCCCTGCTGGTAGAGGGAGGGTGTGCCTGGAGCCCTGAGATAGACCCAAACCCTTTGATTGAAAAGAGCAGGGATGTACTTATGTTTCAAGGATGATCTGTTTGTTTATTTTCAACTTCTCCTTTGAACAAATTAAAATATATACAAGAGAGAAAATCGTGGAATGCACTCCCATTACCTACCTTCTGGCAACCACAATGAGCATCTCCCAAAAACCTTTCTCATCTGTGGCCTGACCTCTCCCCTATTCACCCCCACTAGGTTATTTTGAAGCAAAATCTCGGGCATCCAAATTCTTTTATCTAAAAATATGTTCGTGTGTATATGTCTAAAGATAAAGACCTTATTTTAAACACAACCACATACCATTATCACCTAAATGTTAACGCCAGATCCTTAAATATTAACAAATATCAAACCCGCCAGCCACACCTCTCCATGTCTCATAAATGGCTTATTGGGTCCATTTGTGGGCTTCAGCATCCAAACATGGCTTATATATTGCATTTGGTGCCTTTCAAGTCTCTGCTTTTTTCTTTTTCTTTCTTTCTTTCTTGCATTTATTTTTTCAAGTCTCTCTTACTCTCTTAGTCTGCCCTCCTTCTTACTTCTGCCGCGCAATTCATTTGTTGAGGAAATCGGTCAGTCCAGCAGAGTCGTCTGCATTCTGGGCTTTGCCGATGTGCTGTGGTGTCTCTTCATGCGTCCCATTGTCCTCTTTTTTTGGAATATTGGTAGGTTTCAAGCTAGAGGCTTTGGGGGGCTGTAATTACCTGTTTACATGAGTATTTCCCCTCCAGACCACGAGCTCCGTGGGCGTAGGGAGTTTTGGCAAGAGCACATCCCAGGTGGCCTGTGTGCCTCCTTCAGCAGGCACAGGATGCCTGCTGGCCTCTTGTCTGTGATTTTGACAGCCTCTGATGGTCACCGTCTTGGTCCAGTCTTTCATTTGGGGGTGACAAAGTGGTAGTATGCTAACGCTCTCACTCCTGCATTCATTGCTGGAAATATGCTAAAAGATAAAAATGTCCCTCATCAACTACTTGGTTACCAAGTTCTTGTTTGTATGGGAAAGGCCAGTGAGAGGCTGCATTCTGTCCTTTTACTGTTACCGTTACTGACCCGTTATCAGAAGGAGTCAGTTCCTCATATCCACCACAGGTGACATGTTTTTCCTTTTTTCCTGCAATGACCTGTCTTCCTAAAGCTCTTTGGATTTGTTTAAGACAGGTGACTCTGAGTGGGTGGAACCGTGATTTTCAAGTCTTCTGTTTCTCTGCCATGGGACTCGGGTGATTCATTCAATTAGCCATTGAAAAAAGTATTTAAGCACATACTACTTGAGCACTGGCAGATATGGGCCTCACCCCACAGAGGCGACACGTGGACAGGGAATTTGCATAGATGAAACAGTGGCAGCCCTCTGCAATATGGGTTATGTATCATGGTAAACCAGCCAGACGCCCTCAGTCTAGACTCGTTGTCAGGGGTTAGGAGTGTCGTCCTGCTTGAACGTGGTGGGTCTGTGTTGCACACGGGCCTGAGGATTGCTCAGCTCGGATCCCACCGTGGAATGCTGTCCGCTCAGGAACCCAGAAGCCCTCGTGGAGAAGGGTTTGCTGCCAGGGTCCCCCAGCAAGCAGGTGTACATTGTGTGCCCAGGCATGCGATGATGCTGCTCCCTTTTTTTCAGGAAGACTACCACAGACTCCTCACGAAGTATGCTGAGGCTGAGAACACCATTGACCAGCTACGCCTTGGGGCCAAGGTACCAGGCTGGGGTGGGGTGGAGGCGTGGGCCCGAGTCCCCGAGAAGGTAACACTTTTCCGCAGTCCTAGAGAAAGGTCACTGCCTCCTCCATCTATTGAGGCCCTGGAGATAGTGGAGCGCCAGTTTTTGTTCTACCCCAAGGTCCCTCTGTGACCTTGCCCTCCCTGGGCTCTTTTTTTATTTTTTATTTTTATTTTTGAATCAGGGTCTTGCTCTGTCATCCAGGCTGGAGTGCAGTGGCACGGTCATAACTCACTGCAATCTCAGCCCCCTGGACTCAAGGGATCCTCCCGCTTCAGCCTCCTAGTAGCTGGGACTACAGGCATGTGTCGCTGTGCCCTGCTACTTTTTGTTTTTTTTATGTTTTATAGAGATAGGGTCTTACTTTGTTGCCCAGGCTGGTCTTGAACTCCTGGGCTCAAGTGATCCTTCTGCCTCAGCCTCCCAAAGTGCTGCTGGGATTACAGGCATGAGCCACCATAAGCCCAGGAATTTCATTAAAATCTCTCTCCGTCTAGATGGGCTCTGGAGTAAGGTCACCTGGGTTCGACTCCTGGCTCCATTGCTAACGAGCTGTGTGACGTTAGGGAAGTTACTTGGGCTCTCTGAGCCTAAGAGAGTAACAGAATTTCTGCTCAGCCACTGGTGCTTGTTTTCCGGGCCTGAACCTTCCTGGATCACACCTTTGTCTTTCTCCCTCCCCACCACCTCACTATAGCCTCTCCCTTCCCCTGAACAGCAGCGTTGGGCAGCGGAAACCCACCACCCCATCTTGGGAGGAGGCTGTGAATTCTGCACCTTCCTCTTTTCTGAGTGAGGCAGGAAGTGGGACCTGTGGGGCCCCTCGTGGCTTCCTGCTTTTGCTGTGCCCTCCTCTTGCCACATCAGGCAGCAGTGGAGAAGAGGGTGGAGCTGAGGTGCAGAGATGTAGACTCCCCCAATGCCTTCCCCCCCCCCCCCCCCCCCCCCCCCCGCCCCCCCCCCCCCCCCCCCCACTCCCCCACCACTTCATGCTCCAGGACCCCGCCCCCCGCCCCCACAGCTGCTGCTCTCAGTGTCTAAAGGCACTTCCGGGGCAGGTGGGCGGAAGCCACTGTGGGGAGGAAGCAGAAGTAGGGTGCTGTTCCAGGACCGGGAGCCCCTCTGCATCGCCACACCTGCCGCCTGGAACAAGCAGGACCTTTCCCCCTTGGCCTCGTGGGGCACATCTGTAAAAGAGGGCTGGCTAATCAACTTCCTCCTAGGAGCCAAGCAGGCTCCTTCCAGCTTTCTGAACCTCTGGGCCAGATCCAGGGTTGGAAGAGACGGGGCGTCGGGAAGGGGAGTGGAGGGGACTTTGCTAGGTCGTCCTCTCTGGGAAATTCACATTTTCTTGGCTGCAGAATCCAAGTAGGTCTGAGGAGAAAGGAACTGGTCATCAGACCCAAACGCTTGGGCTTCCCCACTTGACAGATTGGGAGACTGGGGCTCCTGCTGGGGTAGGGGCTCCTGAAGGTCGAGGAGTGGCCGGGGCTGGAGGCTTGGAGCGTCTCAGCCCTCCCTCCTTCCCTCTTTCCTTCCTCCTGCACTCGTTTAAAGGCATGAATCAGTATACAGAAAGCAATTACCTGGCGCTTGGCAAGCCCTTTGTAAGAGTTAGGGAATATTATTGTTATAAAGGTGTTTACTGCAAGCCCCTGTGTACCAACCACAGTGACACAGGCGGGGTGGACATGGAGGAGTGCAGCCAGGGTGCCTCCGCTCGTGGGTGCTCTCTTGACCCAGTAGGACTCAGGGTCCCTCCATGTGTAGTCACCCCGTCCTGGCTGGCACCCAGACCCCTGGCTCCTGTGTACGAGGATGTCACAGGAGGAGAGAGCCAGGACTGGTTCTGTGCCAGCTCACGCACTCCCGCTTTCTGGAAAAACAATTGCTTGGCCGGAGGGCCCTCCTCCCTCCCCCAACCTTCTCTCAGCCTCAAGAAGTGTGAGCACGGTTCAGGGCTCTGCCTGAAGCAGGATGATACTATCACCTCGCTGCCCAGAGCCTCCCAGAGCCCCAGAGCGGGAGAGGAATCACTCCAGGTCCCTGGGGCTTGAGGAGAGCTGAGATTCCAGCTGGCCAGGCTTCCTCACTCCATCTGGACCTCTGCACACTCTACCCTGAAGGCTGGAGAGACCCCAGGACGGCCTTCTGCTCAGAGCCCACGAGTTCACAGAGGCAGTCCTGCTCCTCAGACCTCCCCAGGAACCGCCGAGCGACTTCACTCTGCTCAGAGCCCACGGGGGAGGGAGCCACTCTGTAGATGTTGCACTAGACACCCAGGCTAGGCATGGCGGGTAGGTGGACAGCAGTGGATGGGGACCCATAGGAAGGAGATTGATGTTCACTGAGCAGCAACAGGCATCCTACCCAGGTTCGGGGTCATCTTATTTGAGCCCCTCCACACAGACACTGAGGCTCAGCCAGGTGGAATGATTTGCTCAACGTCCCACAGCTGGTGCAAGAGACAAAGCTGGGACCGAAACCTCCATCTACCTGATTCTAGAGCAGGTGTTCTTTTCCTCATGCCTAGGTAAGCCCTGGCACTCAGGCCCTGGCACCGGCTGTGGAGAGAAGAACAGGGATGAGGCGGATTGATGACAGTTATAGTAATAAGAATGGTCATAGGTGATGTTTATAGACCACTGTCCTAAATAATTTGCAGCTGGGGAAGCTGAGGCACAGAGAGGTTAAGTAACTTGACCAAGATCCCTCAACAGGTAGGTGCCAGAGCAGGAGGTGGAACTCGGCAGCCTGGCTCTAAAGCCCACGAGTGACACCAGGCTCTAGCAGAACTGGACTTGGGCGAGGCGGGATCTGCAGCTGAGGAAGGCTGGCCCAGGACCTCCGCCGGGTCTGCAGCCTTGGGGTTGGGGCAGGACCGGGGAGCCCGGCTGTGGGGCGGGGAGCCACGACTGGTCAGGAGTCACTGGTGAGCTCTGTTCTCTATGCTGGCCTCTGGCCAGGGCTTATGGTGGTCTCACTGCGTTAGCTACCATGTTGCCACCTCCTCCTAGCCCCTGTTCCTCCATCTCAGCTGCAGAGGGGTCTAGAAGAGCCGAGGTGACCAGAGACTGCCCCAGAAGGAATTACGGAGTTGATGCCAAACCACCTTTTTTCAGTGTGTTCTGATGGCCACAAATTGGCCCAGAAGCCACCGGATGGGAATGGGGGTTGGGGAGGTTTCTGTGTGCAGATGAGTTGGGGAAATGTCTTCCTCTCTCTTCCTGCTCCCCGCCTGCCCACCCCATTCATAAAGCCCATTAGCATTTTAAAGGCTGAGAGAAATCCATCTGTGCGGAGAATATTCATTTGTTTAACCCAATGTTTCCCAAATTCGCTGGTCCTCCCTTCACAGGATCCTGATTCACCGTTCACAGAGTCCCCCGAGGGAGCAAATCCAGCCTTGGGGAGTACCCAGGACACCCTGGCTGTGTCCAGGGAGACAGACCCTGGGAGGGCCAGGCCTGAGCAGCTGCAGCTGCCCCCTCCACCCCCATACCCCGCCTCATTGCTCTGCCTGGGCATCTGCTCGGGTTTTGGGCTTCTCTGCTTCAAACTCCTTTACGGTCCCTGAAACAAAGGATCCCACTGGCTTCCCTGGCCCATCCCTTTTCCCTGTCACTCCCCAGGTGGGGCCTGAGGCTGAGAGAGGGGTCAGGGGAGGGAAACATGTCAGAGGGCTGGGCCTGCTCTGGGATTTGGGTCACCTCAGGAGAGGGGTGCTGATAGGAAAGCCCCCACAGGGGGGTCTGAGCAGATGGCTGACAGGATTATTAAAATCCAGCTTTGTTCTCATCTGGAGAGGCTGGGCCCGAAAGGGGGAGGCAGCAGGGACCACGCCACACTTGGAGTTGATTTTTCAGCCACAGCCAGGACCTATACAGCTTAAGCAAGAGAGGCTGCTTGCCTGGGGACCAGGGAGCCCCTTCCACCAAACCCACCCTAAACTGCCAGTTTCTGACCTTGTGCAGCAGGGGGCAGTTAAGATAACCCCCCTGACATCATGATGAGCAGGTGCCTCTAAGGGCGTAGCTTTTCCATGGACCCGTCTCCGTGGTGGCTGTACAGATAATGATGGTGATGATGATAATGGTGATGGTGGTGATGATGATGATGATGGTGATGGTGGTGATGATGATGATGGTGATGGTAAAAATGGTGATGATGGTGGCGGTGGTGATGATGGTGATAATGGGGATACTGATGGTGATGATGGTGACGGT